CAAATGACAATTATGTCCTTGTTCGCGAACGCTCGTTAAAATTCGCGAACATGTTCGTGTTCGCTCGATTATTAAACGAACACAAAAATTCGTTCGTGTTCGTTCGTTTAAGGCTTTCGAACGAGCCTTTAACGAACACGAACGAGCCGAAACGAACCGAGCTAACGAACAGCTCGGTTCGTTTAACAGCTCTACCTAAAAGTGAAGAGGAAAAAAGCAAAAAAAAAAAAGAAAAAAGGTAGAGATCGATAATTTTGTACACCTTCCTCCTCTTACTCCATCTTTCTTTTTATAGTCTTTCCTTGTCATTTTCTCTGAGATCTTACAATTGTTCTCTTTCTTAGAAATCTTCTTTTTTATCTCAAATCTTTGAGATCTTTTACGTCATGCTTCTTTTGATCGTATTTTTTTTATGCTTAATGCTTACAATTGGAGTTGATCTTGATGTCAATTCTCTGTAGATTTTAGTTTGCAAGATGAGAAGACCGCTGAGATTTGAAAATTTTAGAGTTTAATCTTTATTCTAGTTGAAAAGTCTGGTGCCATTATAGTTGGTGGTCATGTTGGCCTTTCTTTATCAGATTTTATCAATTTTGACAAAATAATGAGATAAGCACTCAATTGGGATAGGACGATTGGTAGTTTGCCAAAATTAATCATCATTTAAGGTGATTATAGTTAAGGCTGTCACTCGAGTCACGTGAATAGGGGCTTTTGTAAGCTCAAACTCAACTTACAAAAGAAATAAGATTTTCTTTTGAGTTTTAGACTTATTATATTAAGTTCATACTTGACTCATATATATATTGGAGATTTAGGACTAGTTCGGGCTCAATCCAATTTCATAATTAAAATATAATTGTATATAATTTCTATTAATTTATATTAAATATTTATATTTTGTTGTATAATCATATATGAGTTATCAATTTTTTACATTTTAATACATTAATTATTATTATGTACATTATTGTAGATATACTATAAATGCCAATATATAAAATTAGTCAAGCTGTCTTTACTAGAGCCGAACTTGATGAAATTTGAGCTCGACTCACGATTAAATTGGGTCTTATATTTAGGCCCAAACTCTATTTAGTGTAATTAAACCTAAGATTTGACCGGAAAATTTGTCAGTTAATCAAGCAATCTTGAATTGACTCAATCCTATTAACAATCCTAGTTACGGTGGTGTTGAAGGTGGCAAAAAATTAGCATTAGTAGGGAAAGAAGAAGAAAAGGAAAGGAAAAGAAAAGAAAAGAAATGGAAGAAGAAAAAATTAGAAAAATGAAAAGCTTTACTCATTCTTGAATTTCTATATATCAAAACCTCTATGAGAACAAAAATCCATTATCATTAACTAGCTAATCATACTCACAATAATTGTGATTGAGAAACTTTAACCAAACGCCTACTAAGTTCGCAGAAGACTACATGATGTAGTTTATAAGCAATAATTTGGTTATTAGTAATGGAGGTTAGTAATCGTACAACCATTCATAAGATTGGCTCATATAATTAATAGTGAAACTTTCAAAACCATTTTTTTTTAAATATGACTCAAAAAGTCAAAAGTCTAAAAGATATAGTTTTAGTATAATTGCTCCTTAAGTTAAGGATATAAGTTCATTATTCACATTGTATTGTGCTTTAAGTTATAAAAACAATTTCTATGTGAAAATATATATCATCCATGTAATATCTTACGATAGCTTCACGGTTACTTTAATGATTACTTTCAAAATTTCATTGCTTTTTTTATATGAAAGTTGAAAAATATAACAACCTTTATATATATCTATTGTTTAATTATACTAATGAATAATGAATAAAAAACTGATGTAGAAAAAGTTGTATTTGAAAATTTATATACTATAAATATATTTTTAAAAAACCTTTCCATCTCCAAGTGTCAAACACAAGATTCAAACCCAAAACTTGGTTACTACGGGAGACTTTAAGAGCTCTACCCTAACCACTAGATCGACAATATATATTTATTACTTAAGTAAAGTTGATATTTATGCATACTATTTTCGAAAAGCAAAAGTGGTATGTTGGATCTATTTGGCAACTCGAGTTTTTGCGAGTTTTTAATGAATAAAGTTTTTCTTCAACTTTGTCTATAGTACCGTCTAAAAATTTCACAAAATTTTTAAAATACACACTCCAAAACCCCAAAAACACACACTTATCTCTCTTTTCTACCATTACCCTTCCACCTTAACCCAGCACTGCCGCCACTGTCTCACTGCTGCTACCACTACACTACTAGAGGTCGCAGGGGAGGGGAAGGGGCCTAGGGTAGGAGAAGAGGTGATGGGGAAAGAAGAAGGAGAAAGGGAGAGAAAAGGACAAAAGAGGAGGGGGAGGGAGGAAGGGAGAAGGGGAAAGTGGAAGGAGGAAAGAGAGGGAGAAAGAGAAAAAAAAAAGGAAGGGGAAGGCATCGCTGCAATTGGCGAATGTGCTAGCCAATGGTGGTTAGAGTGGGGGCGGTGGGAGAGAGGAAGAACAAGAAAGGAAAGAAATAAAAAAAACTAAAAGAAAGAAAAAGAAAAAGAAAAAAGTTTTTCAATTTCTTCACAAAAGTTTTTCTAAAAATTTTACGGTAAGCAACAATAAAATTTTATACAAATACTAAAAAAAAAAACTCACCATCTAAATGGACTCGTCATTTGGTTTAATCAATATGAGTTAGAATTTATAGTTTAACATAAGACTCCTTAAACTCAATACTTGTAAGTTGCACCTATTTACTTAAATTTTAGTTATACAAACTGTATATGTTTATTTGTAATATATAATTTGATATTATCTAAATTTCAGATAAATGATCAAAAAAAGAATATTTTGATTCCCTGAATTCTATCTTTGATTTTTTTAACCAAAAATGCTCATCTAAAATGCATATCTTATTAAATAGTTTCTCACATCATCTTATTTGTTCTTTCTAGTAAAAAGTGAGAATATTAGGAGTTTTGGTTGAAACTTTCAAGATTCTGAATTGTAGAATTAAGTTCAAGAAAAAAGCAATCACAACAACAAATTTTCTCTTACTTTATTAACTAACTTTTCTTTTAGAAAATTAACTAAAATTCCATAGGTAGTGATTCTTCTTTTTATCTTATGTGATTACTAAATTGTAGATTTATGAAAATTCTTATTTTATGAATAATGATTATTGCAGCATGCAAGTTGTTTTTACATGAGGTGTAAATCGATGTCTTTTAATAAATACTAGATTTAAACTCAAGCATTAATTTAGGAGATTATATTTGCTTAACAAATAGATGAGGAAGTGCCTTACATATTTTTGTTTACATCCTTGAATAAAATTATATAGTATAAGTTAAAATTTAAAAAACATGCCAGATTTGTATAATTTATTCATTCATTTTGAAGAGACATAACCTTAAAAATTGGAGAAACATTCTCGCAAAATTAGATAAAGAAATAAATTTATTCAATATTAATTATCCAACTTTGTAGAGAATTATTATATGTGCCAAAAACATCAATTGGAATCTTTACTAAGTCTTTTTTATAAACAAAATAATTTCATTGCTGGCACTTATGGCAAAAATACATAAAACATGCAACATATACAATCAGATTTGGAAAACAACATACAACAAATATGAAAAATAAACAAAAACAGCATTGTCAATGTCTAAAAAATTTTTCAACATTAAATGAATCTTTGCATGTTTTCAATAGCCAAATCTAATATGAATCTATTTTAGGCCCAATGAGAAAAGTTTAGATATGACAAAATAGGTTTAAGAATTTTCAGATTTGAGAAAACAAATCTACAAAATATCAAATCTAACAAAAAAAAAACTTTCACAAGAAAAACTAAGGAGTGAAGAAAACTGTCACTAGTTGAATCTAAGAGAGAAAAAACTCTAACTCAAGAATCTTAAGAGAGAGGAAACTATCATTATGAAAATTTAAGAGAGGCATTTATTTAAACAAACAAGAACCTTATAGAAGTCCTCCTCCAATGGAGGAAGAAGAAATAGTTCTATAAAGAAGAAATTATAGAGAAGGCAAAGGATATAACTTGAGAGTGAAAACGTGTGTTTCTTTATTTTTGCAATATTTACTAAGCTTAGTTACCTTATATGATTAAAAATCAGTAATTCAAATGAAAGAAAAAAGTTGTTGCCTTAGGATTTATGGGTTATGCATTTTTTTGTATCTAACTCTCATCAAATTATTTTTTTTATAATTTCTATCTCTTCTAACAAACTTTATCTATTTTAATGTATTTGCAGATTTTTTGTATCCATGTGGGGTAACTTTGTTTAGTGTCAGTTTGATTGTTACATCAGTAAATTCATTAATTTTGCTACAATTAATGAGTATTCATTCATTAAAAACTAGATTGCTGCATCTTTTGTTTTTAATTGAAATAAGTATGTGAAGTTGTTTAGTTTTAGGTGTATACTCATTGTAAAAATCTAATTATTATCTCTTGTTACATGTGTTTTTGTGTGTGAATTGCACTTTTTCATGAATATTATCATTTTGTAGTAATATTGATATATTAAAATTTTTTCAAACTTAACATAGTAGTAGAACATTTAAATTAACCACTTTTTATGGAATAAATATGAATAAATACTGAAGAATATTATTGATATTAATATCCATATCATTCATCTTTCACAAGTTCAACACTAACTAAAAAGACCAAAAAAAAAAAAAAATCTCGTGCTAATGCACAGTTAAATGGAAGCCTTTCGATTAGTCTTTTGGACACATATGAGTCTTCTGATGGGTCAAAGTGAAAACCCCATATTACTATACTCATAACTTGATGGGCCTCAACATAATTAGTCCATTTTAACAATCAACTAAACCTTCCAGTCTTCAACCAAAGCCCTCTGCCCTCTTCCAATTTCTAAAACTTCTGAACCCCAGTAGCCATTTGAAAGTGGCTAGCTCTCCTCACCAATTGCGGCCCTCTTCCTTTTGTGTTCTTCTCCAGGTGTTTCACTACTAACTTTCTTGTTTATTTCTCCTCTTGCTATCGTTTATTTATATTGTATTTCATCTAGTAAATTTAGTGACTTGATTCTGGGATTTTTTATCAAGAACATCCTTAAAAATTGATTATTGTCAGTGTTGAATTTTTTACTTTAATCTCCTAAGTTGCATCTTACGCAGAGAATTAGAGATGGGTTTTTGAGGGTGTCAAGGATAAAGCACCGTTAAACTGTATAGAGGTTTTTGACGTCAGGGTTTTAGGGAAAAAAAATGTCAGAAACAGCTGAATCTTCAGCTCCACTATTGAAAATGGTAGAGCTAGAAGGGAAAGGGAGGGCTCTTGTGGCTTCTGTGCCATTAAGGGCTGGTCAAGTTGTCCTCAGCGATTCCCCTATTTTACTCTACTCTGCTCTTCCTTTGCTAGTAGCACCTCACGACGCTCAGCAAAATCATAACTTTGAGTATTGTTCCCAGTGTTTCAGATTAGTTGCCAAAGAACAGCCTTCTTCGTCTTGTCGTTGCCCTAGTTGTTCTTTGTCAATCTTCTGTAGTCAAAACTGCCAATCACTTGCTTTGTCATCTTCCCATACCCCTTGGGTCTGCCAAGCCCTCAAACAATTTGGAGAGGGCTCTTCGCCACTTCTCCGGTGCCAGCCTGACATCCAGGTTCAGGCCCGTTTTCTTGTTGTGGCCTACAACTTAGCAATGTTCTGCCCTTCGAGTTTTCAGACCCTTTTATCCCTCCAAGGTGATCCATCTACATTTATGAGCTCACCTGAGGCTAAGGACTCTGTGTTCTTTCTCCATTCCCTTGTTTCGTCTCTCCCTTCAGGACCGGTTAATCTAAGTACTTTTGGTTTGTCATTCTCTGTGGAACTGACAGCTGCTCTGCTGGCCAAGGACAAGCTTAATGCATTTGGTTTGATGGAACCCTTTGCCCCTGATAAAGAAAGGTCTGTTAGGGCCTATGGTATCTACCCGAGAACGTCTTTCTTTAATCATGATTGCCTCCCAAATGCCTGCAGGTTCGATTATGTCGATGCTGCCACTGCTGATGGCAGAAACCTTGACATGACTGTTAGAGTTATTCATGATGTTCCATGTGGCCGGGAGATTTCCTTGAGTTACTTCCCTGTGAACTTGAAATACTCTGAAAGGCAAAAGAGGCTCAAGGAAGACTACGGTTTCACTTGTGATTGTGATCGGTGCAGGGTTGAGGCTAATTGGTCTGACCAAGAAGATGAGGAGTTGGATGAAGACAACCTCGGTGATAATGAGGGGGCTGCCATGGATGAGGACGACGACGACGAAGAAATGGTGGCTGAGGATGGCGGCAGTGTGGGTCAAGACGAGAGCTATTTTCCTCACGCATATTTCTTTCTGCAATATATGTGTAATAAAGACAACTGCTGGGGCACATTGGCTCCCCTGCCCCCTTCTGACTCTAGTACATCTACTGTAATGGAATGCAATGTTTGCGGAAGCTTGCATCAATCTAAAGAAGTTTTAGATGGCAATGTGGCTGAACAATGATTCTGAGTGCTGCTTTGCCATCATTCCATCTTTAGCCACTTATTGATCTTCATTCAATTCTCGTGCTGCTCTTCTCTGCTATTGTATTAGACACCACACCAAGTGGAAGTTGATGTTTCCTTGAGTGATTACTGCTTCTTTGTCTATGCCATGAGTTGTGATGTCTATTAAATATTCAATATTGTGATGGCTTCAGAATTCTGGAGGCATGCTTTGCCTTACAAATGATTTTCCCTTTGATATTTTCTTTTCATTGGTCATTTCTCAATGATGTTGTGTGTGCTTTAACATCCTCTATGAGGAAAGCTTCTTTCTTTGTCAAGTTTGAACACAGATTTGGATTCATCACTTGGAAACTTATGAGACCTTTGTGTTAGAATTTCTTTTCTCAGCAAAGATAGGATCATTTGTATGAAAGTTTTTAAAGTTAATTTTCCAATCAACAAATGTTCATATGCATCCCGCTGGCTCTGTAAAAGCTTTAGTTGGTGCAATTTTTTTGAATTTCCTTCTGTATAAGTGGTTGGAAACAAATTTGACGTTTCAAGGCTGTAACTGAGAATTTGTATTCAGGCAACTTATGTATTCAGCCTCTCGAGCTGCCATAGTAAAGAAAATACAGTTTTCTCTAGACCTAGTGGTTACTTCATGCAGTCCGTTTGCTGTCTAGATATCTGGTTTGGTTTGTAAATAGTCTTTTCTAAAGTCAGATTCCATGAGGTTCATTTGCTTGGGAAAAAGTGAGAGATGAAAGACATGTTAAAGTTTTCTAATACGTTTCCTTTTCTTCAAGGAACTTGATGCCTTACAATGTTAAACATAACCAGTTTGATTTTGTTGTTTGTTCTCTTGAGAAACTGTTTAATTGTCACGAATTTGGTTTGTCCACTTCTCGGTGTCTGTGTTTCACCTATCCACTATACATTTGTTCTTTGTTTAATCAAGACTTAACCAATCGCAATTTCAGCTTCTTGATAATCTGCAAAGGGGTTAAGGTTTGCTACTTGGTGATATTCTTCATGTGTCGCTTGGTTCTATGCTCTTTCTGATTAAAGGACTGGAAAGCATGAAGCTTCTCCACTCTAATAAAGTTTAAAGTAGCTGTGTTACGTTCTTGAAGTTGGACTATTGTGCTTGGGATAATCTTTTTGTAGTGGCTGCCAAGTGTTTAATCACCTGAGAGAAGATTGGAGTTGCAAAGGAAAGAAATCTGAACTGCAAGAAGATCATCCGAAATTATTCTTGTACCAAAGAGAAGGAAGAACAAACGCAAGAGGGACCTTCAAAGCGACGAACATGTTCTGAACCCATCTCCTCACCCAATGAAAAAAAAAAATTGCAGAAAGCTGTTATGTGTGACATAGAACATTTTGTAAGTTGGGATTGAAATAAACTGAAAACTGACTCCATGGATGGTAGCCGAATGAAAAAAATAAAAAAGAGGACGAAGAAATAGATATTTACTTTTGTAAGCTTGAAGACCAAGGGGTGTATTTTTTGAGGGCAGAAAGTGAATGAACAAGTTATGTTTTGTTTGAAGATGTTAAAGATGGTGAAGAAATAGATATTTTGTTTGCACAATTTATAATTAGAGTGGTTATGAATTAGCAGCATTTCGCATGCTATCTTGCAGATTATAGAGCACTCTAAGTTAATCAATGGCCAAGCTGAAAATGAACAAAGGGTAAAGGACGACAAAATTGCAATGCTGAAAGAAGAGAAATCGCAGTAAGTATTTGTTTATTGAATCAGCGCTGGCACAAAATGCTGGATAAATTGATTCTGCTCTAATTTTGTTTGATGGTTTTTGGCCTCAAAGAAGGACTAATGGAGAGAAATATGCATCTTAATGCAGGAAGAGCTTGCAGACATAAAGAAATCACCTAGATTATTGATAGGGAAAATGTGCCAGAAGAAGATCGAACAAGAAGGATTTCTGAAGTCATGAGCCGATTAAAATGTGCATGATATTGTTCCTGATGATAAGAATGCTGATATAACTGGCAGGAAGAGATCAAGCAACGAAGGTGAAGTTGCTGATCATCTTGGAGAGTCAAACGAGACCGTGATCAAGGTTGGTAAGGCAATTGAGAAAGACTTGACCCTATAATGTCCTGTGATAAGCATGGTCGAACAACAGGCGGGGAGAAATTGGAAAAAGAAGAGGAGGAAGGTAAACATCTTTATAGCAGTGTTGGTTCAAACAAGAATGTGATCAGCTGCAGGTATAAAATGTGGTACAAATCAGTGCAATTTCCACACAGCAATGTGGTATTTTAGCTACGGATAATATAATTGCGGATTTTATACTTTGAGAGGCAAGTGTTCGAAAGCGATGTTTAAGGAGTAAAGTAGGATGGATTTCTTATTTTAGAAGGTAAAATGTCCAAAAATGAAGTATAAAGATTAAAGTGAAAGTGCATCTAATGTTTAAGGGTCTAAACTCCAAAGTGCAATTTACCCTTTCTTATAGTGTATGACAATATCAATTTCTTATAGTGGAATTTGCCTAGATCGAGCTGACCTTATTTGACTTGATTCGCGTCCAATGCAGTCTACAATTACACCTATCACTATAGTGGCCTGAATCCAGTCGTAATGTTGTCCGACAGGAACCCTATAATGTTTGTGGATTGATGAAAGCTTTAGTTTGTTGTTGTGTGTGTGTGTCTATATATATATATAATGGTATTTGCACTCTATCCAAAGTGGGGTTACTACAACTGATTTAATAATACTTTCAATGTTCAAAATTGCACAACGAAGTATACAGTTTTTACTTCATTCTACACAAACTCTTTCTAGTCTCTTGCCTATTCGTATTCTATCCCATGTAATGATATCATACGCGTATGAAAACCTCTCTGGTCTCCACTTCATTTATTTAGGTATGTTAGGATCTGATTTATAATTGTCTGAAAGTATATGAATGGCAATCAAAAACCAAATCTACTCTAGATCAAAGTCCATTCAAGAATAGGATTGAAAGACAAACCAAACTTTTGAATACTGGAATCAAGTTCGACTTGATAAGAACTCATTCGAATTTGGTTCAGCAGATATTCGAACGAAGCTTGAACAACAATTTGTATTTGATTAACGTTCAAGTTTCGCTCGAACTCGACTCGATTAGTATATAAGTGAAATTTACAAATAAAAAAATTCAAACTAGTTGAGCTCAACTCGAGTTCGACTCGATAAGAACTCATTTAAGGTTGACTCATTGCTTGGCTCGAGAAACAAAGAAGTAAAGTTTGAACAAAATTGCAAACTCGTCAAAATAATTAAACAAGTTTGAATGCCAATGTGTTCGGCATGTTTAGACTTATTTACACTCCTATCCAAGAACTCGAGTACTAGCAGACATATAGTTATTAAAGTCAACTCAACCCGATGGTTCAACCAATCAACTTAGTGAACCCACCGATTTTGTAAGGAACCTGAGTCTAGCATGTTATTGGGGGAAAAATTTTGAGGAGATGCTAGGATGGTGAATCAAACACCGGGCCTCATGTGTGCAAGCCAAGTGCAATCACTGCTGGACCACCAACCCATGTGTTGGTTGTTAGTCCTTCTTATATTATATATTAGACTATTTATTGTTATTTTATTTCTCCAAAAAAAAATTTATTTGAAATTTTTTAATAAAATTTTATTATTCCCCAAACTTTATAAGTTATGAAATGGATTTAAAAAATAACATATTGAACAATTCATTTTAAAGGCAAATATCGTTCCTATTAACCTTTTGCACTTAAAATTCGTAAATAGGGTTGCAAACAAACTGAATTGAGTCAAGTTTTCACATGTCCGAATCAAGTCTCGACTTAATTTTATCGAACTCAAGTTTGATGAGCTCTCAATGTAAAGTTCGAGTTCGATCTCAAATTCAAACTGAGCCAAACTCGAGCTCAAGTTTAAAAAATAAAAATAATTATTTTATTTTTAAAAAATGAATCAAATAGTAATTTTTCTTAAAAATAGTAAAATATTAGAGATATATATGTAATTTCACTATTAAAATAATATATATATGTATATATATATAATTAAGTTGGTTCGCGAGCTTATTTGAGTTTGACTTCAAACTTGACTTGGTCATCTAGATCTCGACTCGAATTGCTTACGAGTTGCTTAACTCATATGTAGCCCTATTCATAAATAAACTAAATAATTACACTAAATATAGATAAAATTTTATACTTGAAGTTTGGTGGATTACTAATTAAATTTAGGTTTTCTTGATTCTTATAAAAATTAATGATTCTATAATGAATTAGATTAAATGAGCACTTACTATGGTATAGTTTATCATAGTGTCAACCATATTAAAAATTATGAGACATACTTTTTAAATATATTTAATGGGCCATCGATTCAACCAGAGCGGTTCAACAACTCACCCACTGAATAAATCGATAACTCGTTAATTCACCTCTTTCGCCGGTTCCTCCTCGGGCTTGATTTAATAACTATGCTAGCAGGCCAAATCCAGTCACCTCGTTTAGGCCCATAATCCGTATGGCGAACCCTGTTAACTATAAATTAACCAACATTTCAAAATTTTAACAAACCTCTCTTTGGAAGCAAAGGTTAAAACTTAAAACCTAGGTAATTCTCTCTTTCTTGTAATTCTGTGTCTTAATTTATATGAAATGCTCCTAATTTTGAAGAATTTCCTCTGTTTTTCCTCTTCCTCTGTACGAATTTCCGTTCTTTATTTACCCCGAGCTTCCTTTTGATTATATGTATACTTTTTTTTTTTAATAACTTCAGTTGTTTTGAATCTATTGCAATTTTTTTTTATTCTAGCACGAAAAGAAATTGAAATTCCCAATTTGAATTCTACTTCAGATTTTGTTAACGATCATTATTAATTTCAGGTTCAGTATTTAAGATCGGAAAGTTTTATGGGTTCAGAAGCATATCACTGTCTGTAGTTCTTTAAATTGCTTAAAATGGAAAAGTGCATGATAAAGTTTTCAAGAAATTCTACATATATGTTCCTTTATGGTTTTGTATGATATAAATGTCCAAAGTTGCTTTCGATAAGTTTCGTATTGAGAGCTGGGGATAGGAGGAAGGATTGGTATAGATAGATTTTGAGCAATAAGCAAGCTTCAATTTTAAGTAAAAAAAAAATAAGCAGGCAGTATTGATCTGAAGGTGTTATATTGTTGTTAGTTGTAAAAGGGACTATTTTGTATCCAAGATTTTGTATTGTTCCTAACTGGACAAAAGGTTTGATTTTGATGACATGCTGAAAGGATGATCAATTTATGTAGTCATTGCGGATAAGCAATATTATGGATATTTTCTAGGAAAATTAGGGAACTTTATAGATGGGCTTCAGCAGGAAAGAGAGTCTTTCTAGTCATATAGACATTGGCAATATTGTAGGAACCATGTCATCATGTGATGTAAACTGATATGGATTTTACTTTCGGAACATTTGTTATGAAAGCCAGCTGATGAAAGATTTTTTTTTTTTTTGCCTTAGGCCCTTATTTATGTGTCCAGACTCCAGACTGTGGTAGCATGATGAAGCATGGAATTTTATTCATAACTCTGGCAATAGCTAGCTACTTAATCCTTATTTTTTTCCCTCTTGGAGCTATGGCATAAATGTTTATATTGAGAAGATTTGAATATAAAATCTACATCCAATGAAATGGGCATGGGTCAATAGTTTGTCTTGACGAGTTATTCATGTTATTCCTGTCAACCACTTGGCTCTTATCTGTCTTAATGAATAGTTTACTAAATGGGTCATGTTGGATATGACATCGAGAAACCTCTAGTATCTAAATACACTTATTTTTAGCTCAAACAGAATTTGGGTTCTGATTTTCATGGAGTCAACGTGGATCACTTCAAATAAATTGCATACTATGATAGTAGGTTAATTGAAATCCACTTTTGACTTGGACCCAGTTAAAGCTTAGAATTCTTCATTTTCTGCATGCTAAACAAGTATTCTTGAAGGTGGCTTATATTTTTTGAGATATGTATCCTCTCATGCATAAGTGCATTGCATATACTTTCAATTTCTTTGTGTGATATTACCCAGCTTACCGTGTCAATAAATATAGTTGCACCAAGGTTACTTTATTTTGCATAAGGAGCAAAACTGCCATTCCATAGTGCTGAAGTTTCTTAACGTTTCTATTTTTTTAATGTTTAATTTTCAAAGAACTCTAGCTCACCTTCTAAAATTTGAATAAGCTGTTTAATTGGTCTGCTATCTTGTTGGGTGATTTATTGAACACCCCTATTATGGCTGAAGCTTGACTGACTGCTCTAACAGCAACCTGATACTCCTCTGCCCAATTTCTCCTATGTTTACTTTTAGAGAACACAATGATGAAACTCTAATCTGATGGAAATCTTGTTGTTATGTTTCAATCATCTAGGAAATCTAAGCACTCTTTATTCTTGCCATCCATGAAAGATGGAGACTAGGGATAAAAAGATAATTCTGCTTTCATTTAATTGCTCCATGCATTTCTAGTCTTTCGACCTTTTCTGGTCAAGTTTAGCTTAGTCACTAGCTTCTGTTATTTGTTCCTATGACTAGATTAGTAGAAGTATTTGGTGAACTATGGAGATAATTTAGGTTCAACAAAGGGTATGGGTGACTGGACTTCCTTTTTTTTTTCTTTAACCTTGAAAGCATATATTTTCTGGACATTCTGTGTTACTAGTGACAGTTAGCAGTAAATGTTATATTAAAGTGCATCTTTGTCTGCTTAACATTTGTTGGTTAATGACTTCTTGTTCTTTAAATATGTGTTTTCCTAGTTTTGTTGAATAATGTTCTTTCTACTGGAAGTTTTACACTGTAATTTGTTTGAAGGAGCTTTGTTTTCGCTTTCAACACAATTTTTAGCACCAGCAAGATGGCTTATGAAATCAGTGAGCAAAAGAGTAAGTTTTGATTGTTGAATACGTTTAAATTTCATCTATTCTACATCTGGCTGCTTTTCTCATTTTGAACATTTGGCAGTCTAAACTTGGTATAAGCTTTGTGATTCCAGATAAAAGTATCTCTTAGCCTGTCTATTTTCTATGGTATTTTCCTTTTTTGTCCTCCTAATTTTGTTGCAAACTACATCCTTCTCTGCCTTCACAATATCAATAGACGTTTGAGTCTTCATGTTTTGTGACTAGAAGTAGTAGCCTAATTCCTAACTGAAGAGTCTTTATCAAGCTTTTTGATTCCAGATAAAAACATTGCTTAGCCTGTCTATTTTCTATGGTATTTTCTTTTTAGTACTTACAATTTTGTTGCAAAGTACATCCTTCTCTGCCTTAACAATATCAATAGATGGAAAAGTCTTCATGTTTTGTAACTAGAAGTAGAAGACTAATTCCTAACTGGAGAGTAGCATCTTTTTTGATCCACAATTAGATGCTGGTTTACTACACTGGAATTTTATCTTTCCTTTGAGCAAATCATGTGCAGATATTTGCTAAGTCAAGTTTTCAACTTTGGGTTTATGTGTAGTGTAGTTTTATAGGATTAGGGTGTACAATTATGGCCATAAAGTGGGTATGTTTTGGACTTACTAGCTAGCAGGTTTTGAAATATTTGATGATACTCTGCAGTCCATTTAGGTAATGTACATAATCTTTCAAACAGTTATTAAACTGGTTTGGACTCTATTCTGTCAATTAGAATGAGGCTTTGAACAGGGGTATAGTTGAGGTGACTTGTTTCACAAAGAAAGCGATGTAATAGTATTTTCTTTTCTTCTTCCTTCTTTATTTTTTTTCTGGGGGTTTTTGAGAGGTGGGGGGGGGGGAGATGTATTCATTACCATGACCTTTGCCCAAAACATATGGTGGTGGTACTAGCAACATGCACAAAGTTCGCATGTGTTTATTCATTTTATCAAAGAAAAACTTTTATTTATCCCAAAATTTGACAGTTGTCCATTAATTTTCTCGTATACAAAAGAGAAGAGACTGTCTTTACATGGTTTTATTTTTTTTTTTTGTAGCTCATAAATTTGGGGTGGGGTGGGTGCAGGGGCATTTCATTGGTCAGTTTCATTTGAGACACAGAGAGAGAGGAGAGAGAGGACTGCTGTAAGTTATTTGATTCTTTTGATTAGAAAACCTGGTTGGTGGTGAAAGATAGTAGAACCAAGTACATCTACAAGAAACAAAAATTTCTGTAAATAATGCATCTACTTGATTTGAAGGTGACTTTTTGCACAAGCTCCTTGAATTTAAGATAAACTGAACTCCCTTTGACGTATTTGAAGTGACTTTTAAGTGGTGAAGAGAGCTGTTAAATGTTCTCACTTAATGACAGAGCTTGGATGTGTTTTTAGTAACCTAATAAATCTTGTCGAAGCATGGGTAGATATGGACATCAAATATTTTCATGGACAAAAGCTCCTGAAAAGTTCATATTGTTATGGTAGTTGGCAGAAATATTGTGATAGTTTTAACTTTTGACATAAACGATCTCATTGAAAACTTCAAGGCATTTTGAGTGTGAAATTGAATTTCCATTAGGTTCACAATACCCTTTGGTAAAGCTTAAGTTTGACTGCAACTCTGTTAAAGTTCATTTTGCCTTATTGGTAGATGTTAAAGAGTTGAACTGTCAATAGTTGCATGTTCAAAATGGTAGTTCTATTTTTCTTTTGCAGTTATATGTATCTGAGGATAATTGCTTGTCATAAATAATCATTCTAGTTTTTTCTCCTTTTCCTGCCATGTATTACATTTTGCTCAATTCAAGTGGGCTTCTAATATCTCCATCATGGGATTTTCTTTGTGCAGAGGTTGGCATAGGTCTTGTTGGTTTTGGGATCCTCTTCTCATTTCTTGGCATCATTCTATTTTTTGACAGGGGTTTGCTTGCTCTGGGAAATGTAAGAGAATAGTTTGTAATTAAGATTTGATTATTAGATGATATCCAAGTATAGAATAAAAAATTACTTGAGTCTATAAAAAATTACTTGTGTCCATCTCATGCCTTTGTTAGTAGATATTATGGTTGGCAGGTGTTGCCCTTTTACTGGGTTGGCGGTCGACACTGCAACTTTTTACAGACAGAAGGAACTATAAGGTATTCATGAGGCACAACAGCCTTTGTCTTGATGAGAACGATGCAAAGATCTTACTTGAGTTTGCTTGATTACCTTCTCTGCATATTCTTTATTGGCATTATAAGTCTTGCATTTGTTTCAGTATGTAGATCTGTTTGGTGTTTCTTCTGACAATTAAATGAAATACTTTGCGCATGCTAGTCAGAAGCACAATAAAACTTACTAAAATGATTTCCTTGATTCTTCAAGATAGTAGCATACAAATACAGAAGAGAATTGGATGTTATTGCTTGTTTTCTCTTCATCTTTTGTTTCAGGGATCTGTTTCATTTCTTCTTGGGATGTTCCTCATATTTGTTCGTTGGCCAATAGCTGGTATAATCACAGAATTTTATGGCTGCGTTTTTCTCTTTGGGTCAGTTCATAATGATAATACCTGATTAAATTGTCGTACTTTGTTTTATTTCTGAGTCCTATTCTAAGAACTAGTACTAATACATTTATGTGTTGATATTTATCCTCTCAGTGGATTTTGGCCATCTATTAAGGTATTTCTCTATCAGATTCCGCTACTTGGATGGCTGCTGCAGTATATCCTACACTGGTGAGTGTATTTTGGCCTTCTTTCTCAACTGGCTATCCCTTGCTTGGGTGTTGTAATGCTATGGAAGCATCTCCAATAGTTATTTCATTTAATGGAAGGAATTATTGGGCATCATGCGGTAGTAAAGTATTCTGGGATAGAAGCCTCATTCATGATTGCCTGCCATGCTAAAGAAACATCCTCAGGCATATTTCACAACATATGTTGAGGAATGCCTTTTCCACCTAGGATTTTTTTTGGCAAGCCGGCAACGTTTTGGATATTGACCACCTAGCTCATGTGGGATATTCTTGAACTATTATCGTAGTTATAAAAATATGCCAAAATGAGAATAGTTTACTAATACAGAAAGGACTGCTTGTTCAAAATCACATCTACTTATTTAGCAACGTATATATTACTGCATGATTGCTGCAAATTTGGCCTCTCTCTCTCTCTCTCTCTCTCTCTCTCTCACACACATGCACACAGGTGCCCATTTTTTATGTTGTCACCTAACCAATAACTAACTAATGGTTTGCAATTTCAGATTCTTGATCGTCTATGAAGGAGCTGAGGTTAGTTTCCTGTTTGATCTTCTGCTTACGTTGCTCAGTTCAAAACTGCCTCCTGGTTGAAGGACTGAAAAGCATGAATTTTTTCCAGTTGAAGGACAGAAAGACTTTATCAAATTTGGAGAAGCAATCAAAGGACCTACTAACAAAGTGTTAAAGCAGATGATTTACGATTTTTATCTTCAGTTAATGTTTGGAATTATGTATTCTAATGGCTGTCAAATGTAATTATAATGTCTTCATTGTAATTATGTATTCTAAATGGAATTATGTATTCTAGTTGTCTTCATCCTACTACTTGTAGTTCCTTTTTCATACGAAGTTTATTGTTACCCTATGAGTAGCAAAAAGTAGATATTCAGAGAACATTGACAGTGAATTGACCACAAAACAGACCTCTTGCACCAGCCACTTTTTGGCTACACACTAGTGCCTCGCTATCGAGGCTTTTATATGCAGTCAATTTGTAATTGACAACTGAAAAGGGGCTTGCGTGACTAAAGATTACCAGCTCAAAGATAGGAGTACCAAAATTTGCCTGTAACATTGTGCTTTTCAATTTCAAAAGGATGTTCTGGTACAACAGTTTTATAAGCATTTTCAGATGAAGCTCAAATCTGAGAGAATATCAAATGGATTAATGAACTTCCAGATTAAATTTCAAGATCCCTTGATTGGTATACACATGATTATGCTCTAAAAGAAAAAAAGCAAACTGTATAATCTGCAATAAGTTGATAAAAAAGAACTTGTAATAGTGTGTTAGTTTTGAATCAGCTAGCACAATTGGGACCCCAAAATTTATTTTTTTAAAAAAAAAAGATGCATTCAGATAAAGTACTTTACCATCTGAACCTCTTTTTGTTTATACCCACACTTCTCATAAAAAGGTTTGTTCTCCAAGCTGCAGTCGAGGATCACTTTATAGCAACCCATTGAGCGAGCATGGTCAGTGAGGAACCCAACAATTTTCTTCCCTAATTGCATTCCTCTGATTGAGGAATCAACAACAACATCCTCAATGTGGCCAACTTTGCCACAGTTTCTTATAAACTTCCTTTCAATAAAAACACTTCCACTAGCAACAATCTTCCCACTATGTCGATCTTCAATTACACATATCACATGTTCATCACCAAGTTTAGCAAGCTCTTGATATCGTTCTTCAAAGTCCTTGTCAGATACAGATTCACAGGCAGTCAGTTGTTGTAGTAATTCAATAAAACCCTTTTTGTTATCGGAAATCTCAAGCCTTCGAAGTTGAAATCTCTCCTGTTCAATACAAACATTCCCTGGTTTATCTTCCATCGAGACTTTCTAGCTTCGTTCTGGATCTCCTAATAAACGAGCTATCAATAAAGACAAAAAAATTTATCATCAAATCCAACACCTGCCCTGAATGAAAGATATGAATTTGCAATACATGTACTAAATGACAATGACATAAGCTATACGATGGAGGATGAAATTGGAGATACTATTCTTATCATTTGATACAGTTTTCTGATCCTAGCTAAAACAAGAAAAATGATCTAGATCTCTTCCCATTGGCATTGGTAATTCAAACAAACAGGATAGAGACACGACTCAAGATCAAATAAGAATTCGACACCAAAAAAAACATGGAGACTAAGAGAAGATATATTTCTCTACCTTACCGAGGTATTTCTATAGCCAGCAGTTTTCATCTGAATGCGGAGTGGGAGGAAAGGAGGGGAAGAGAAGGAAGAGGAAAGATGCACATTTGACGCTTTGGGCGGTGGTGAGTGAGACGAGAGGAGAGAGAAAAGAAGAGAGAGAACAGAGGAAAGTCATACCCAATGACATCATCTTAGCCAATGAAAAAATCAGATGGTCACAACAAGAGACATGCAGCATTGAGGACTGTATCTTTGCCACGCGCCAGCAAGAAAAGTGTGCAAAGACCAAGAATGTGCACAAGAAAAGACAGAAAAGCCCACCAGTGCACCCAATATAACCTTGAAACTGGATGAAGATCACTGTTCCTTACAGTTTTGCTGCTTTTATTTACTCACACATTGCATGAGTTGTCCTATGTGGTTGTTATAATAGGGAAACCTGTAATGGGATATTGGGATTGTTGCATGAACAAAAGATAAGGTCCGCAATATTAACAGCATATTTGTATGTAATATGGTAATCACGAGGTCATCTTACTGCATTGCAAGTAGCATATAGATTGTACTATATACATTAATGCATAGATAGGTTGTCAGCAATATTTCTAGGTAGATACTTACATATAGCTAAGCAGATGTAATAGTAGTAACTCAATAAGTAGAAATCATAGGATTGGACCAGTTTTTGTAATTACAGTATTGACATAAGGACTGAGATTGAGCCTGAAAAGGATCGCGGCTTGTGCTTTGGATAGTGGCAATTGCAGCGGGCAGTGGTAGGAAAATGTAGACTATGTGAAATTGTACAAGTATGCTTTGTAAAGCATGAATCAAAAGCAAAGAGTCGCAAAATTCAGTGATGGATCAGGTGCTAAGAAACTTTGAAGAACATCAGACACATTTAAACAATTTAATCAAGTAAACAATGAAAAATGAGAATTGAGAACCAACGGATGCACCTCTTTTTACTCCACTAAACTGTTGCAGAAGCTTTTCAAAGTTTTACTCCAGAAGATTTACCAATCCATGAGAATTAATTCCACATAATCTCACAGGTAGAACTGAACGAAAGATTTAGATCAGCGCTAACTTTCGCATCAGAGGAGCAGTGAATGACATAGGAAGGAATTATTTTCTCTATTAGACACTTAAGTATCTTTTGACTTGAATTAATCAGTTACTTAATTAATTAAAAGGAAATTTATTTAACCTGAAAGGACCATCTTCTCTAGATTCCTTTATGATGATGCTTCTATCGATACCTTATTGGCAAAAAACATTATTTTGTTTGGGAACAAAAAACCACCATGGTTTAGGGATGTAGTACATGTCAAGGTCTAAACTATCTTCAAAGAATAATATTTAAGAACAAATTGCTGTCCAAGAATTTTGTCCATACTATTTAGATATTGAATGTTGTATTAAGAAGTGCAACTGAAATACAACTATAATTTTTCACTTACACTAAAATTACAGCTCCTCTGTTTAGAATCTAGAGGAGCATAAATGGATCATTACTAATCTGAAATGCTTATGCAGCCATTTAATTCTGAAGACCAAAGAACAAAAAGTTCAGTATATGTTTGATATCAGAAACAAACACAACAATATCCAGCATATGAAACGGTGTACTTTGGAGCATGCAATTACCTTTTCGTCACAGATATTATTTCACTGAATTTTTTATTAGGTTGCACTTGATTGCCCCTCTATGTATATCTGACTTTTCAGTTACCAGCCCATCTCCTGACCAAAATATACTATTTGGAGTTATTTCAGCCTTGTACATATATCCATGGCTATCTAAAAGGATTGAACAACTCAGAAATTTATGCACTAGTACATGAAGCTAAAAAAATAACAATAATAATTCAGAAGCAAGCCTATATGAAAAGCAAAACTCTCCTCATATGTCCAAGCATTTTTGAGAACTAACAGGAGAGAGGAAGAATTCCCAAACACTAACCAAAAATACCAAGAACATTTAAAATCCAGAAATAACAAAAGGTAAAATCAATGGAAAACATAAAAGAGAAACATCAGCAAAATGAAGGAAAAAACAAAGCCATGGTTGTTGGAACCTGCTTACAAACGATATCATAGGACATGGAAAGAATTCTTGTTCCATTAGGCACTTGGATTTAGATTTTCATTAAGGCTTTTCACAAACATCTTATATGCACGAAAACAACTATCCTTTATTTGATTAATTTCAAATTAAAGCTAAACCAAAAATTGTCACCAATGCATTTACAATACTAATAAAGACTAACAGGAAAAAGGGGAAAAAAAATCAGCAGTGAAATTAAAATACACAGAAAGGTTAAAAAAGTGAAAGCAAAAGCTGCCTGAATAAGAATATTCCACGAGTAAATGAGGGGAAAGAACGAAGAAAAAATAGGGAAAATTGGCAGTGAAATGCCTCTGAGCCTTTTCTTGTTTGAAGAAGCAGAGAATTAACGGAAAATCTGAGAAAGGGCGGCAAGAGATAAGAAACAATATCCCACTACACCACAGCCCACAGGCATAATGATGTAAGAAAGACTATAATGTATCCCCGCGCAATAGAGTTCGACAGGAAAATCAGTGTTTTCTACAGAAATGCTCTTCTAACTTGCTACTAGACCAGAAACTCAGTTCATTTGCGAGACCCAACCCATCCCCTGCAACCCACACAATCATGCGCAAGCTGCTGCAACTTCAACGATCAGTAAGCAAGAAATATTAGCATTACAACCAAAAGACCTACAACTCCTAGTCTTCACAGAAGCTAGCCACAGGCAAATGAAATGCGATAACCCCAATAATTCAAGTTAATTAGCCAGCCCAAAAGCTTTGATTTAACGAATATTGATTGGAAACTCAAAAACCTAGAACCAGAAACAGACACAGACCCGTTCCCTCCTAATTATCAAAGAATTTAAGCGCACAAGGAAACAAAGACGAAGATATCAGCAAGAAAAAGATGAAGATTTACCTCCGATCACTTGCCGGCTAAATTCATCCTCGCTCGATCTGGGATTCTGGGTTGGGTAAATTTTTAGGAGGATTTAGACAGAGAGGATTGGTTTAGTTGACTAGAACTGACGGGAATGGGAGCGACGGCGGTGGCTGCGAAGGAGGGAACGAAATCGGTGAAAACGAGGGAGCAAATTGCACTAATGGGTTGTGGACCTGTGGTAAATTTCCCAGTTCCTCGCAAAATCCATCCTGGTTGAGAGAAACAAAAAGTAGTCGTTATAGCACCAATGTTTTTAAACTCGGACCGGCCAGCGAACCGGAGAGGGCCCGGTTCACTGTCCGACCGATCCAACCAGCCGATTCACCTGTTTTCTGTTTTTTTTTTTTTTCAACTTTAGTGTTAAGTACTTCACATGTCTTTATTCTACACTTGAACTTGACGGCTAATGTATAATTTAACATAGTTATTGATAATTTAAGTTTCTAAAATGCATTCACCAACATATCTAAATTTAAGTTGAGATAATAACAAATTTCCTAAAAGTTATACATAAAACCTGGAATGATAAACATAATTAAAATATCATAATTCACTATAAGTTTTCATAAATTCATTATAAACATAAATAGATACAATCCAAATGTTCACCAATTATCACAAATAAAAACACAAAAATAAATAAAATAAATATTGAAATTCTTTTACAATCCTTAAAAAAGTCCATAAAAGAGTCCAACTTATATTCAAGACAAACCATTTGAATAACAAACTTTCATCAGTGGCATGACAAGCAACAATACCACCTTCACAATTTCATCAACTTAACTTGAAAAAGTTAAAATTTTATTATGAAAATATAACTCTAATTGATCAAACTAAAAAAAAAACCAAAATTTTGAAAAACAAAGATACAACTAAATACATATAATAAGCTGTGAGCTAAAAAAGAAAAAAAAATCTAATATACAGACTAAATGAAACTTTCGAGTAAGAAAAACTCTAACTAGCTTTAAATGAAACAAACATCAATTGAGATACAATCGGTTTAGTGCCAATAAATTTAATGGTTATAATAACCCTAGCGGCAAGTGTAAGTAAATGATCAATTGATGGGATCCTAAGGTTACCATTTATGGATTTACCGAGACATACAAACATGTGGTCCGATTTGCACTTTTTTTTTAAGCTTCTGTTTGACAACTTTAACATGTCTTTAATTTTGTTGCTTCAGTGAAACCTTTAAAATTCAAGATGAATGAGCATTCGGTAGACTAATTACTTCAGCATAGAAAAAGCAATAAAAACACAATAAACAGCATAGAAAAAACAGAACAATCATTGATACAAAATTTATTAATTTGATACTTCATCCATGTCTAATTTTATTAATTTGATACTTCATCCAAAAAATAGCTTCTCCAAATATGATTGCAAAATAATTAATGATTCATAATTTCATCCTTAATTAATCAAATAAAAATAAAACAAAAACTAGGGGAAATGGATGAAAATTGGGGGAAAAAAGAAGAAAATGCAAAAAAATTGGCTAAAGATAATAACATAGAAAACAAAAACCTTGAAAAGGGAAAAATTAAGCTTACTAAGATGATGGAAAACAGGAAAATTTCTTGAGTCTCAAATATCTTGTGAAAGTTGAAATTTCCAACTTGTCTACAATCTGCTAAAGATGATAGCTTTGATAATAATGGTGAAGGTTTGAGAAAATCTTGTTGTGGATATTTGGGTTTAAAAGGGTTAAGAAGAAAAAATTGAAAAAAAAAATTCAATAGGAGAACTGGAGGAGCGGTTGGCCTAGAAGTAGAAGCCTGAATTCGAGAAAGTGATGGATTGAAAGAAAAGTGTGTCAGCTATTTCTTTTCTTAATGTCAATGTTTTGAAAATCGGACCGGACCGGCCGGTTCGACCGGTTGAACTGTGAACCGACCATGATACCGGTCCGGTTCAATGTCATAGTTGACTTTGTCAGAAAACCGGTCAAGAACCGGTCGAACCGTAAAAACTGCGGTCGAACCGCTATTGAACCGGTTTTCAACCTTCCTTTTTTTTTTTTGGCAAAATGCAGCTATTAAGATTTGAACTCAAGACCTTTGTAATAGAAGACCAATGTATTAACCATTGCACCATCACATCCTATTAGTTTTTTTTGATAACTTATTTATATAAAACAAACACTCATATTTCTTTTTTCCATTTTTCTTACAAAATCTCATCCTCTCATGACTCTTTCTTTTTAATTTTCAACTCTCTCTCTCTATCCTCTTTTTTTTTTGTCACTCTCTTTTTAATCAAACCTCTTTATTTTTAATTTATTGATGTTTTCTTCCATCTTTTAATTTTGTTTTTGTCCATTAAATTGAAATAAGTTCAAAAAGAATTATTTTTTTAACCTAAATTATTTAATGCTACAACCACTCACTTTTATCTCATTTTTTGTTTCTTATCAAGTTTACATTTCTATTTTCGATTTTCTTGACTTCCTTCGAACTCCAAACTTCCTTTTTTAAATTGCAATATCTAAAACGTAAATTAAAATTTAAGTTCACAATATCTAAATTCTCATAGACGTGAATTTTGTATAATTTCAAAATATTGTGATATTTTTGGGTTGGATTTAGATATAATTGAAATTGAGATGAAATTTATTTGTTTTAAATTATAATTTAAAAATTTTATTTTTAAAAAATCCAAGTTATTAAAAAATAGTAAACCTTTCATCATATAAAGTATTAAATTAATCCATTACATGTCTTATTTTGTACATATATATATTTATATAAATAATTTTTTAAAAAATTCATTGAACCGAGGTTGAATTGGTCCGACCGATTGAACCTCGACCCTTTCACTTCACCGGTTCAATGAACGGTCCGATTTTTAAAACATTACTTAATGTTAGGGTTTCATTTTTTTAATCTATTTTTTAGTCAAGTTAAGTAGAATTCTCAGGACAAACTGAACTTCTCCTATGATTGTGGTCTAGTGGTAAGATTGTATAATGTGAACATGGAGACCCGGTTCGAATTTGAGCAGCTTCATTCTTGACAATTTTTTTGAAAATTTAAAAACCGCCGGGTTACGGTTTTTAGCAGTTCATACGGTTCGACCGATTTCTAGCAATTTATCATTAACTTTCGGGTTTGATACTAGATCGGACCAGTGGTATGTCTGGCTCGTAGTCCAACCAGTTGAACCGGCCGGTTCAATCTGATTCTGAAAACATTGTGTAGCACTCTTGCAAAAATGGTACTTATCCATTTCTATCCACCTAATTAAATGGGTACAATTGAGTTGACTCACTTATATATATTTTTTATTTTAATTCACTCAAATATATTCAAATCACCCATTTTGAAACCTTTAAATATGGCAAACCAAATATCATATGCGGTGCCCTGCATATGATAGTAAATTATTAATTATTTAAACTTAAGGGAAATTCGTCAAATTAATCATGAACATTTACACTAGAATCAATTTAGTTCTTATGAATTTTTTTAAATCAATGTAGTCCTTGAACTATTTTTTGTTTTTCAATGTTTGACTTTTGTGGCGGTGCCACCAAATTTTACATCTGTTGCGCGACTAGTCACAAGTATTTTTGTGTTGTTGGATCACATATTTCAATTAAGGGATTAGAACTAAAACAACACGTGATTAAACTCAAAACATTTGGAGGAAATGGTCTCAGCCATCTCTAGGGGTTTAGTAGAAATTTTAATGGCAGCCAAAATTCATATGAATCTGATCGATAGATCAGGATCTTTGATGATGGAGAATGTTGACAGGGATAAGGATGGCAATGATCAGACGAGCTCATCACCAATATCAAGTAAGCTTCATTGAGACCTGCTATGCCTTATGTTATCTTTTAGCTATCTGATGTTGGTATTAAGTGTGTTGAATGGTTTAAAAAATTGAAGGATTTGGTGGGGTGACTGATTTTTATGTAAAATATTAATCTCATGAGACATGAATAGATTTGAGGATGGTGAATTTTTTTTTTACTTTTGATTTTGACCACTTATGTCGTATTATGTGGTCCCTTTCTTTTAAATTGTAATGTCTTATTGCTTTCTTGCTCCTCAAAAGTGAGACATATTAGAAGCCAAAGTTTTGGATATAATTAATTAAACCAAGTCTGTATTTTTTTTTAAAAAAAAAAGGAAATTTTTTAGCCTAAAAGTCTTTTATGGTGGTTTATATATCAGAGATCTACAAGAGAAATATGTGGAGGATAGTATGGAAACATTCAAAGAAGTTATTGCCATGAGGTTGAACAAATCAATTTTGCCTGATTTCTGCAGTCTTGTTGGATGATGTACTGAATTCCACATGAAGATAATAAACTTAGGCCCTGTTTGATGATCTAATTCATCACTTAAATTTAATATATTCAGATCTTAATATATTCAGATCATTTGATAATAAAAAATTGAACATCTGAATTAATTAAGTTGCATTGAATTTTCTAGGCAAAATTTGCTCCCAAAATTAAGTGATAAGCTATTCACTTATCACTGAATGTGATATGTATTCAAATGTATTAGATTTAATATTTAACAATTCAATAACTTAATGGATTCAGACTTCAGATTCAAGATTTCAAACTTCAGTTTTATCAAATGCATCCTTAGTCTCCGGCAAATTGATACTGATGATACAATTGGTATGGTTAGTATTGGTAAACAGAATGGCGAAGTTGAATTGTATGTGGTTGATGGCATCCATGTAGATTTGTAGATCATTAATATGAGAGTTCAAGTGTAACAAATTGTGACACTAATGTTGCAGAAGAAGATGATTTCTTTGTCAATATAACCTTTGAAGATATTGAACTCGCATTCATGTAGAGAAAATCATAGAGCATTTGAAGAAGAAAAGGGAAAATCAGAAGCTGTTTTACATGAAGAAAATGACCCTAATGAAGTTACACATTCAGAATCGTCTGAAGGTGATAGCTTCCATGACTGTGACTATGATTTTAGTAAAGATGATGATGATGAGATATTCCAAACTTGTGTTGTGGGTCCTAAGAAAGAGCTGGATGCGCATTGGTAATTTGCAAGCTGGCAATGGAGGTAGCACTTTAAAAGGGTAGAGCCAAGGCAACTGCTATGAATGAGCTACACCTTGATGATAGAGACTAGATTCTAGTCTAAGAAGAATCTGATTCAATGGTCTCAGATGAGTTGAAAAGTGTGTATTCTTTTTTTGATGAAGATAGCACAAGGAGGAGGCCTAAACTTGCGAGATTCAAACCTAAAATTGACATGGAAGATCCAAAATTCCATGTTAACAGTTGTTCAAGAGAGTAGTTGACAACTATGTAGTCAAATGGGCAAGGACATTTAAGTGCGTGAAGCAAGATGCTGCAAGAATGAGAGTCAAATACAAGGCTGAAAACTGTAAATGGATGTTGTTTGCTTCTGAAGTTGAAGAGGGTGATGAAGACAATAGGTCTAGAACATAAATGTGGTAGGACCTTCTACCACAAGAGAGCAACCTCAAGAATCTTGGCAAGAAAGTATGTAGACCATTTAAGATGAACAAGAGAGTGACTCTAGTTTAAAAGACATTCATGAAGGGAAAAGTGTTAATCCATGGAAGCTATAAAAAGACCAATATGAAAGGTTATGAGATTATTGTAAAGAGTTGCTGAAAGGGTAATTTGGATTCTACAGTCTACATGGAGACAATATCAGATGAAGACCTTAGGAAAGAAATATTTCAGATGCTATATATTTGTTTTGATGCACTAAAGAGAGGATTTGAAACTGGGTGCAAGCGTGTACTTGGTGTAGATGGCTACTACCACTTGAGAAGTTCACATCTAGGGGTGCTCTTAACCTCCATGGGGAAAGGTCCCAATGGCTGCATTTATCCAGTTGCTTGTGCAATAGTGAAGACTGAGAATAAGAGGTCGTGGAAGTGGTTCCTTCAATTCCTAAAATATGATTTGGGAACCCATGATCAAAGAAGCTGGACATTCATCAGTGATAGATATATAAAAGGTTAATCATTTTTAATATGAATTAATTTTTTGTCACATTCTATTACATGGTTGCCTACTGATAAATTTGTGTTTGTACTTGACTTATTTACAAGGCCTAGGATCTACTCAAGAACTAATTTCAGGTGTTGAGCACAGGCATTATGTTAGACATCTTCATAATAATAAAAAGTTAAATCCTAGTGAAGCATTAAGAGAGAGTTTCTGGACATGTGCAAGGTCATCTTACATGACAATGTTGCAGAATCAAATAGACTCTTTAAGGGAGAATGATGGAGCTGCCTAGAAGTGATTGATGGACAACACATCACCTCACCATTGGTCATGGTCACACTTCTGTACCGCTCCCAAGCGTGATTTTCTACTCAACAACCTTTGCTAGACTTTAATTCAGTGATAACAGATGCAAGTGAGAAGCCAATTCTTGGCATGTTTGAGGCAATTAGAATTTATCTAATGGAAAGACTATGAACCAAAAGGGAATGATGAAGAAGAAAATTGACAAAATCTGCCCAAAAAATACAAAAAAAAAAAAGGCTTGAGAAAGCAAAAAAAAAAAAAAAAAAACCTACTCCCAACGTTGCAAATGATCAAAGGAGGACTTGTTTGAAGTTAAACACACATATGAGGGCATATACGTCATTGACATTCCAAACAAAACTTGCACTTGTAGAAGATGGGAGCTAACTGGTGTGCTATAGCTCCATTTGATTAACTGTTTTTAGAAATATTTTTGAAATATTTTACTATAGTAGTGTATATAAAAAACTTTTACTGTAAATTTTTTTTGTGATGTTTTTGGAATATATTTTGGAGTACCTTTTAAAATTAAAATATTTTTAGACTATTTTTTAAAAATTAATACGACCACCTACACCCACAACCCCCACCCACCACTGCTACCACCCATCCCTCCTCCTTTCTCCTTTCCTCCCCTTTCCTACCACCCCCAGCCCTTCCTCTACCCCTCGATCTAATCTCGATTGTGGTTATGAGTGAGGGAAGGAGGGGTAGGAGGAAGAGAGAGGGGGAGAAGGACCCTCGATCTAATCTTGATTGTGGTTATGGGTGAAGGAAGTAGGGAGGGGGGGAGGGTAGGCGGAAGGGCTAAAGGGAGAAGGACCAAGAGGGAGGGGGAGGAAAAAGGAGGAGAGAGGAGGTGGCAGCGATGGTGGGTGGGGGTGGGGGATGGGCAGGGGGTGGAGGTGGATGGTGTTGGTAATAGGTAGAAAATGTTATAAAATATAATTTTTAATTTTTTTATATATATTTGTGAGTTGTTTTGAATATATTTTATGGATGAGATTTTTTTTTTTGAATTATTTATATTTATGTATTAGTATAACATTGCATTTGAAAATTTTACTTTTGAAAAATAGGTCGATCCAAACGGTTCTTTGACAGGTGTGTCTACACTCTACACAGAGTTTGGTTCATCCATACTACTCAAAAGAGAGCTACTTGAAGGTGCATGAACCAATTATAGGTCCAATGAGTGGGCCTAATGCTTGGGTCAAATTAAACAGAGAACCTATCCTGCCACCTAAGAAGTTGATGCTGCCGGGTAAGCTGAAGACATTAAGGAGAAGGGAGCCAGATGGACCAAGGACAAATTCAAGTGATGGAACCACATTTCCAAGAACTGGACTTGTCACAATGACATGCTCGAAACGCCATCAAATAGGCCACATGGTGAGGAAATGCCCAGTGATTGTACAACCCGATGTAATTGCTGGATCTGGTAATAGAAGGCCTTCTCTAACACTAACAAGTGTACCTAGTGCAAAGTGAAGGGTCATAACAAAAGAACCTGTCCAAACAAAATTGATGCGAATGGAAGACCTCATTTAGATATAAGAGCTGGTAAAGTCCAAGTTTGAACAATTCTTGGCTTTTTATTACATGATTATGAGCTTAAGACTAAAGGTGCGTTTAATAAAACGGAAGTCTGAAAATTGAAATCTGAAGTCTGAATCAATTAGATTATTAAATTGTTAAGTATTAAATCTAATACATTTGAGTGTACATCATATTAGGTGATAAGTGAATAGGTCATCACTTATTTTTGAAAGCAAGTTTTACCTAAAAAATTCAATGTTACTTAATTAATTCAGATATCCAATTTTTTGTTATCAAACGCATTTCAACATGTTAAAATTTGAATCTATTAAATTTAAGTGTTGAATTGAATTATCAAACAGGGTCTAATTCTTTTTTTCCTAGACGAAGGATGCGACAATGAGAGAAATCAAAGACCCCCACAAGACAATTCTTTTCTTTTATAATGGCTAGTTAGATTTTTACTCATGATCTACTTTACACTTTAGCTAAATTTAATATTATATTGATTGATTAAGAGATTACTTTTCATGCTATCGGGTGAAGATGTACATGCTGCGAGTGAGGAGCCTGAAGTCATTGATGTCCAGCTTTCAGCTTCGAACCAAATTCCTCAAAGACCAAACTAAGATCAGTAAGTGTTCTATATGCCATGGCATAGGTAAAAAACCAACATGTTCAAGTTGGCAGGCTCAAGCATGGCGAAAGAGAAGAGCTGATATGAGGATTTATGGTCCATTTCCTGAATCAAAGGAAAAGTAAACTAGGAAAAAGGAAACAGTGAGTTTACTTATGTCATTGTTTAAAAAAAAAAAAAAAAAAGTCCTATTGTATATATAGTTTGCTGAAGTATTCATCTGTTCAATGCAGGCGCATAGGCTGTTAGATGAAGAACATACGAGCAAGTTCATAACTCAGGCTGGCATTTGTTTGAAGATCAAAATTAGAACCAAACTTGCTGGGGCAGATGTTTTGGGACTATATTCTCCTTTGCTCAGTCTCTGCAAAGATTTTGTGCTGAATGTCCCCTTTTTGGTTCGGAACTTAATGTAAACTTTTGGTCCACAACTGAGTGTACTCTTGGCATTCGCTAATGTAGTGGGGCCAATCCCCGGAGTCACGTGTCAGTTCGAACATGATGATCTGTCAGCTCGGCCAGATCAGCTCAGACAAGAAGGGATACCAGTTTGTGCATGGCCACCGCCTTCCAGCTGGATGGGCCTGGTGGGCCGCAGCTCCCGAACCTTTCAGAGCTAACAGACGGAGCCCTAAGAAGAATCCCTCTCTAGTAGGGCTTCTAATCCTATAAGAAAACTACTACCAAGAGTTCTATAAATACAACACCATGAGACTAAGCAAGGTACGCTATTTACAGTAATCAATACTGTTACTCTACTCTTAGGTATTACTGATTTGACCGTTGGAGTCACAACGGGGAACTAGTCCCGTTGTTCATCCTTTCACAGGTCAATTCGGTCACCTCGCTCGTGTACCGGTTCGTTCCCTCTCAGTTCACTCAACCCGTGGTTGCTTAGTTCGGATCGTGCTCTCGGCAGTCTGCATCAGCTACATTTTGCAAAATTGAAAAAATTGCTAAGTAATGGAAGTGGCTTTGTTACCAACATCATGTCTTGTGATTGTCATTCCATTGTTTTGTGATTCTTGGTACAGGTCCAAATTAGCAGATATCAAAATTTAAGGCAAAATTCTGCCAAATTTTTTTCAACCCCAAATGCCACAACCAAGTTTAACTACTATGTTAACATTTTTGAAATTCAACTTCCCCTTGCATGTATTACATAAACAGATATTACATGAATGGATTTAAATTTTCTTACAACCAAATCAAAAATACAAACACAACCATGCTTTGGGTCCATCTTTATACCATCTCTATTGCAACATTTTTAGCTTCAAATCCATGAAACTTTGTCCTTCCTGGCCACTGCCAAGAACTACAGCAAACAACCAAAAACAAGAGCAAATCACTATCACCGCTAACAATTTGGTTGTTGCTTTCAACTTCGCAATTTCGATCTTCATCATCTTGTTCTCTTTTTCAAGCCTTCCAATTTCAATCTTCACCAATGTGTTCTCCACCTCGGCCGTCCTCAGATTCTTCAAAATTTTGGCCACCATATTCTTTGTCATCAATGGCATAATGTGGATCCTACCACAAAAAGTAGTTGCAAGCTTTTGGTGCCTAAATAAAATTTCCTACCATCATTATTCTAAATTAATTAATAACTACATCACATTTTATTGGCAAAAATTAATTTAAAAATTACCCCATAATTTGAGCAGCCATGAAATCTTTTGCCTAGGTTCAACAATATCCACGAAATCAGTATTCGACATGCGTCACGTCAGTGATAGAAACCAACCTCATCCCTATTGTAAAACTTTACCTTTCCTCTGTCTATTCGCCCGTGATAGAAACCAACTTCATTCCCACTATAGAACTCTACCTTTCCTCTCTATTCACCCTTGATGATTGCCCACTTTCTTTCCTATCATGGTTTGACTGTTGACTGCTTTTTGAACTTGATGCCCCATGGTCGACGTTCCTCCTCTAATATATTTCTTTGGAGAGAATTTGCACAAGGAGGTGCGAATTTGGCGACTTGCCCTCGGGCCAAAGTGAGTTGATGTTCCCCATTTCCCCCTAAATGTTCATATTTAATCGCGTGCTGTGTTTGTTCTAATCACTATATTGAAAAATTTGATCCACATGATAAAAATACCCCTAAGTAGTACAAGAGATGCAAAATTGGTGGCGACGCCACAGAAGTCCTGCGTTAAAAAAACAAAAAGTAGTTCCAAGATTAAATTGGTTAAAAAAAATTTATAAAGGGCTAAATTGGTTTTAGTGTAAATGTTCAGGGACCAATTTAGCTAATTAATAGTAAATTATTAATTAAAAGAGTTATTCACCATTGCATTTGCATGGCACTTTTTATTATTAAGAACTTTTTCTTTTTTTTTTCTTTTTGAACAATTATAGATATAAAATAACTTGAATACCAAGGTTTGTATAATTTAAGATACTAAATGCAAGAGAAAATTTGAAATTAAATAGAATACAAATAATAAATTCATCAATAGCTTAATTATTAGTTTCAACTAAATTTTACCCTATGATTCATTTTTGTATTACTCAAATTAATATTAATAAGTTAATATATGAAAGAAAGAGATATATTAGGAAATGTTAAATGTCATCACTTTTTTTGAATGTATTAATACAAAATCTTTACATGTAAGAAAATAATAATAGAACATAAATGCGCTTAAAATTTGATTCTTGGATGATTAAAAACTCTAATGGATAGAGAAATTTTTTATATATACATGCACACAACCAATTATATATATATATTTATATATGTATGTATTGCATATAATTTTAGAGGCCAAATTTTTTTTGTTAAGATGCAAAAGTTTGGTGAAAGAATTGAGAAAAAACTAATAATATGCTCGGACAGCTGTTGACAAATGAGTTTCTTCTAACTATCTGTTACTATTCATTTCACCATTTATAGATATTTGTAATATTGTTGAATTGTAATTTATTTGCACTAATCCTATTACCATAGGTTTTTCATAATCTTATACAATATATAAAGACCAACTATATTTTTATTCATTTTACATTGTGTAATATTGTTGTACTGTAATTTGTTTGCATTTTTTAAAATCTTTTTTAAGTAGAGAATGGGTGGGATTTAAGAAGCGGGGAGGGGAGGGCAAGGGAAAAGAGGATCTAAGAATCGAACACTAATTTAAGATTTAAAAAGTTAAATATAGGTAATGTAACAACTAAAAGAGATATTTATCTAACAATTCAATCTTCAAATTCAACATATGGAAGTTCAAAGGGTAAGGTCTCGTTTCATTGGGATTAGCAATTGGATTAAAAAAAAAAGTAAATTTAAGATATCTATATTCCTATGTTTTCCTTTTGGTTAAGGAAGACAATTACAATGCTAAATTTTTTGTATAAGAAAAATTTTGAAAACGTACCCTATGCATGGCTTTACATGTTAAAGTGGCGAAATTATTCTTGGAAGCTTCGCTATGCAGCCACTGGGATTGGCTCATTGACCTGACATGACAATTGAGGGCGGGAAGATTATACAAAAACAAAAAACTGAAATTCCTCTCAAGACAAAAAAAAATTACTAAAAAGCGGCTTCACTACGGAAGAAGCTTGCTTAGTTCATGCATTTCATAAAGCCGGCACAGGTAACAACCCAGAAAAACTTTTTTAAAAGAGACCAGCGAAAGCCCCTCAGGTTCGGCTCCGTGGTTGTAGTCCCAGTTGGAGAGAGCCACGTCCAGGGATCGAGTCCCCGTTCTATCATGGCTGGTGATGCTTGGGGCGGGCCGCTCCCAGCCCGTACTTGGATTAGTTGGGTCGTACGGTAACCAGTCCACAGGCCCAGATACTCACTGTGATCAAAATAAAAAAAAAAAAAAAAAAAGAGACCAGCGAAATTATTTTTTGAATATTTCTAAACTGTACATTAATGATTCCTGATTTCGCCACAGCTCAGAACCCAAAATCCTGATTTCTTAGTGAGATATGTATTTTGACCAAATAATATCTGAACTAATCAATAAAACACAAGTAGATTAACATTAACCCAATTAAGGTCACCCCTAATTATACCCTCATCATCAATAAAATCCAAAGGGTGCCCTCATTGTTGTTAACTTGAAGTAAATTAAAACAAGATGTCCAATCATCTTTACCTAATCTAGTAATATGACATAATTCAAGCAATTATAAACAATTTGAATCTTGTTGTAAAGGAACTATAAATAAACTTTTGAGTACACTATCTAGCCTAGATGAGTACTAATTAATATAACCTTAACTAATACCATCAAACCATCAATAATTTTAAGGAAAACTCCCATAAGGGTTTTGTCCAAAAGTGCCCCTTGATGATGTTGGGGGGATTGTCGAGGTAGGGCCTCCAATTTGTTAAGGAATTTGTTTGTATTGGGGTGAAGGGATATTGGATTAGTGGGAGGGGAGGGGGGTCCCAAAGTGCTTGTTTTTCAAGAAAAGAGTTGTAATCTCAGTGACAATAATTGGCAAAGCAAATTAGAAATCCCAACATGGAACTATTAATTAGGAAAAGAATACATGGGACAAGTAGCTAAAGGTTATAGAGGCTTTAGCAGCCATGTGGAGACAACTAATAGTTAGAACAACTAGAGACCTACCAATCTACCATACACTATCATGAGATTTTCATACATCACAATATATCCTCTTTTTGGTCACTTATTTCAAAAGCAATATTCTCTTTTCCAAAGTCCCAACAAAATCATTAGGTATTGATGGTTACAACAATTGTGCTTTTTACGATATACAAAAGAATAATGCAAAAGTTGTAATTGAAGGGATTCTTGAGTATAGATCCCACCTCATGTAAGTGTCTATAAAAATACCATATAAATACATAAATAGATACATATTTTCATTTACGCACACCACATGCATGCTAATGATGTATCTAAATTGAAAATTTCTGATGTAGTTCAAACTAATTTAGAACATTAAACATCCAATTTAATCCACTAATCCAAATTCTTCCCCTTTCATGCAGTTAATATTGTTGTTTTTCAAAGTCCCAACAAAATAATCAGGTATTGTTGGCTATAATAATGTGCATTTCATTATATACAAAAGAATGATGAAAAATTAAACTCGTAAATAAAGGTCCAGCGTATAAATTAATATACCACACTCATGCATGCATCTACACATATACCAGTTGTAAGAAATATATGAACCCACAACATGCAAATGATGTTTCTCAACTGATTACTTTCTTCTTAATTCAAATTACTTTAGAACATTAAGGGCAAATTCCACTTACCCCCTGTGGTTTAGCATTTTTTTACATAACCCCCTATGGTTTCCAAAACTATATATAACCCTTTCATGATTTGAATTAAAGTGTCAAAGTGATGGGAATGATCATTCTTAATGGAGTCACCTAAAATGTTAAAAATACTCTTATGTAAAGTTGAAAATTATTTATTAACTAAGGGGGGTTATATGTATATTTTGAAAATCATAAAGGGGTTATATGGTAAAGTATTAAACCATAAGGGGGTTATATGGTAAAATATAAAAATCATATGGGGTTAATGTGTCATGTATTTATAAGGGTAATTTCGATATTTTTAGAAATTCCGTTATGAATAACTATTTTCGTTACTTTGACACTTTAATCCAAATCATGAAGGGGTTATGTATAACTTTTGAAACCATAAGGGGGTTCTGTAAAAAAAAGGCTAAACCATAGGGGGATAAAATGTAATTTGCCCGAACATTAATCATCCAGTTTAATTCACTACATCCAAATTCTACCCCTTCCATGCCGTGAATATTAGTTTCTTGTGTACTGCAATTTGATAAGAACTACATCATCACATTGGCTAAATTCAAAAAACATTAATCAATTTGTTAGCTAGCTTAAATCAAAATAACATCCTTAATTTCATTAAGTTTGAATCACTAGTTTTCCATCATGTTGATACTGACCTCTGATTATTGATGTCTAGTCTTATTCTGCATACATAGACAAATATGTCAATCGGAAGGGAAATACAATTTGAAAGAATTGAAATAAATAAATGACATTGGATCAACAGGATCAATGTGATAGACATTAAAATGTCAATTCCACTTGAGTTTTTTATAGATGGCATGGGGATTATTTGTCAAAGAAGACAGATATGGTCCAACATACAGTAAATGTTGTAAGCATGATATTTGTAGATCGGTTCGAAAGAGACACTCTAACTATTGGGGATCCAATGTTTTATGTCAAAATTATAGCCTATAGTTTTTCACATGCTCCTGCCGTGTCGGTGACAAATTAAGCCACTTGGAAACATATTCTGAAATGCTTGTGAAGCAGTACAGGAAGATCCTAGGGTTCGCTTAAGTCATAGAAATTCATTCATAAGTGCTATTTTAAGATTAATGAAAAGTTAGAGGTATTTTAACTTTTTGAATCATGACATATTGATGTACTCCAAATAATTATCAAAGACTCTAAATTTAGACACTAAAATGGTAAAATAAATATCCAAGTGCTTCCAAGTAATATGCATGGCATCTAAGTTATGGAAAGAAAAAAGAAAGAGGAAGATGTATTGCGAGTTTATCTAATTAAAAAAAAAACCGGCGAATTCGTGTTAAATTTCACATAAAGTACATAATCTTAAGACAATTAGTTTAAATTCCACATGACTTAAGTCAAAAGAACTCATGTAATGAAACGGAAGACTAGATTGAACTAGTTGAATTAAATAGAGTAACTCAAGAAAAGCTCTGGTGGTCAATGACAATTAACAAGCCATATTAATAATCAAACACTTGGTGGCATGAAAACCCTAATGCATAGCCTATTCTAAAAGCAAGGTCAGTTAGAGAATGAATTATTTGGGAACATTGTGGAAAGAACCATTTGTGATTGCACAGTTGAAATTGATGTGTCACCGACTCAATGGCACAATATATTAGTTAAAAGGTGGATGATAGGTACACGTTCGAAACACTACAACTACTTGGAATAAAAAAAAATGAACAACTAT